AAATATACTCAGAACTTTCCGTATGTTAAAATACAGGTCAAGTTCCTGATTATCGCTATAGATTATTTTACAAAATGGTTTGAAACCAATTTATGGATAACAATAATAGCTCAATAAGTACAAAAATACACATGAAAAAATATAATATGTCAACACAGACTACCTTACACCATAATAACCAACAACGAAAGATAATTTAATTACTAAAGGATTCAAACAATTCTTGCAACAATTCAGGGTTAAACATAAAGTTAAATCTGTTGAACACCCATAAGTGAACGATCAAGTTGAAACCGCCAATAAAAATTATCCTTAAATAAAAGGTTTATGGCCCAAGGAGATTCCAACATTTTGTGGGATTACCATTGTACACATCAATCTTATAGGAAACACCTTTCTGACGTACATATAACATTAATGTCATGATATCGATCAAAATATGTGAAGAATCATGGACACATTGAATATTCGATACAAGTTGAACTTGATTTGACAACTAAGGCAAGAGCAAGATGACACTATACTAAAAAATTTGAGCATACAAATTTTACAAAGGAGACTTAGTTTGTAGAAAGGTTGGAAAAACTTGGCGTAACAAAAATGAAGGAAAATTAACACTAAATTAGTTTGAACTAGCTAGAATATTTGACTCTTTAAACAACAATGCATATAAATTAGATGAGTCGTCAGACAAACTCATACTACTTATTACGATTGATATAATAAGGTGAAATAAATTATTTAACCTAATGAGACCGACCTGTTTAGGTCATAATTGTACGTAACTTAACCAGATAAAAACGACCTAATTATGTTATTTATTTAAACATAATATATATGGTTTGATTATCCAACACTAACCTATTTAAGTTATCTATCATGTCGCCGCCGTCAGAAGAGGCGGTCGGAGCGACGCGATGATTTTTAATTGACTCGCGTTTTCTTTAAAAGAAACGGTTCAACGCCTTTAGGCCGTCCGATAACCGGGCTAGACCTAAGGGCGAGGTTTTCGAATAGGTTCGAGGAGTCGCCACCAGTGTTTTAACCTTAAAATCTGAAAAAGGTAAAAAAAAGAAAAAGGTAGTGGTTTTAGAAAAAACCAACTTTGGCCATTACAACCAGAGTCGGGTAAGGGAGTTAGTTACGTGCGGGAAAGGTGTTAGCACCCCCACAATGCCCCTTTCGGGTTCCCTATGATGGACTAACTTAGAAAATAAACACTTAAAGAAATTACATTTTTACCCTATTATTTGATCTACTTGCAGAATTTAAATATCTACATGGCTCTATTATCTAATGCACACAAAGAAAGCGATAAAGAAAGCAGTAAAAAAAGACAGAGAATAAAGAAGGAACCTCCGAAGCGAGCTTTATATTAACTCTTCGAAAACGTGAGGACGCTTTTTGGCAGTCCCCGCACTCTACAAACACGCTCCTCCCGTAAAATAAAGAAAAGTCACTCTAACGAGGGCCGGATGTCTCAAAAAGAGACTTCCTTAACCGATTTCAACTTTAACGGAAATCGGAAAGCTCCCTCAAACCCCGGAATAATGCTCAGGGTCACTCTCAAGTGCCAAAAGGCTTCCAAGAGAGTGGAGGAGAGTGAAAGGTGTGAAAATTCGGAGGAATGAGGCCCCTATTTATAGGGATTCGGGCCTGGAAAAGGCGGACGGCCGTCTGGACAAAGCGAACGGCCGTCCAGGGCAAAAAGTGGCCATGGACGGCCGTCCATGTAGTGTGGACGGCCGTCCATGGCCTTAAAGTTGCCATGGACGGCCGTCTGCTTGTCATGGACGGCCGTCTACCTGCTCTGGACGGCTATCCACCTGTTCTGGACGGCCATCTGCTGCCTCCGGCGGATTTCCCGATTTTTAATGCCTCTAAAAACCCTTCCTATCCTAAATGAAACCTAGAACAATCTACTAGGGACTTGATAAAGTCTTAACCATCTTCGGAATGGGGCTTTATTAGGAGTCCGGGCAAAATTTGGGATCTACATATCCTATTAAAGTTGACTTATTCAATATCAACTTGACACATTTATATACATACAACCAAGTATTCATATATATATATATATATATATATATAGATAATGGCATCTAAATTATTATGCAATTTTGAATGACAAGCAAATACATAAATGAACAAATGCAAAAGTGAGTAGAAATAAATATAAAACTATTTTACGTGTCTTTGTAAAGATTTATTCCGTCAAACTCTTCTTAGAACTATTTTATGTTGTTCTGTTTATTTTATAACAAGTATTTACTTAAGTTGATGTAAATATTACTTAATTTTGCTTATATTCACGAGCAATAATTTTGTCATACACGAACACTATACATGTGATAAAACTGAGTCAAATATTATAAGTTGAATAATGATGAACTTTGCTTGACTCAATATAACTTGTTCACCTCATAAAATATCACATCTGCAATATTTTTAGTTTTAAAATTTAAGGGACTTATATACCTACTCAGATCTAATGAAGCAGTTAGATAAGGTAACCAAACAAGATAATCAATTCCTTTCAAGATATTGGACACATTCAAATACTGTCTTATATTTTTCATTAAAGGTATTCTCTTTATCATCTCATTATTTAATCATTCATTACTGACTTAAATATAAAAAATCTTTATAGATAATTTTTCTCTCCTTTCCAACACATATCAAAACAATTTAAAAATCATATTATCAATTAGTTTTCTAAATTAAAATATTTTACGCTCATAATTAAACAAGTAAGAATAATTTATAAAAATTATTATTTAATTGAAATTGATAATAATGAAAATTATAATTTTTAGAACAATAATTTATTTATTATAGAGCGAGCTAATAGTATAATTTAAATATGAACTGTAATAATACTTTATTGGTGCAATGTGGTTGGTTTAAGAAGTCCTAACTTTGATTTCAACTTTCTACCTATACACATTGCATGCAACTATTTGACAAAATAATTAACATGGAAATTTTCCTTCCTTTCTTTTTTTCTCTTTTTTTGAATTATTTTATTTCAAATACCAAACAATCTTTCTCTAAAATTGATTAACACAAAAACCTCTTTTCGTACGAATATTATATTTGTATTTTGAGATTAGATCTATCTATATATTTTTATTATTTATAGACTAGATACATTTACCCACGGTACCTATTTAATTCAGATATCTTATTGTATTAATTTTAAATTATATTCATGAATATAATTTCCTTTTTTGATAGCTCAAAATCACTTCGCTAATCTTGTATGCTAATTAAAGATTAAACTCATGACTTTCAAGTCTTCCGTTTATATATAGATACCTTGATAAAAAGAAAAAAAAAAAAAAACTCTCAATGTTAATTTAAAAAAAAAAAAAAACTCTTATTAGAAATTTGTACATGCTCTTTCTTTTAAACTCACTTTCATTGAAAATATTTATTATATTTTAAAGAATGAATAGTCTATACATTAACAATATAAACAAAGGTGTATGGTTATCTAATTACAAATCACCAAGAATGATAATTTTATTAATTTTTAAAACATATTTTAATATTTTTTTATTAATTATGGCATCACTATAAAAAAAGTGGAACAATTGTTGCAATGGATATTTTTTAGTGAAACATGATTTGTTCAAGTGTGTGTTTGGACGATGAATTTTAGCTAGGGATGGCAATTAAACCCGTACTGCGTGAGCCGACCCGTCCCCGTCCCGAGTTTGACGGTGAAACCCCGAGTTGACCGGGCGGGTCGGGTTCGGTTTTCCCGCTTAAAAGTCGGGCGGGGCGGGATGGGTAATGCAATCCCCACCCCGACCCCGCCCCGTCCCCGCCCCGACTTTATATTTAAATTTAAATTTTAAAATATTAATATTTTAAAAGTATTTCATTTTCTTTTTCTATTACATATAAGGTTATTTTTTTATATTTCACCAATTTTTATTTTTCTTCTACCCACTTTTTAATTTTTTTTATCTTTCTCAATCTTTTATATCAATTAATTTATTATATTATTCTCTCCCTTATCTTTCAGCTTTTTCACATTTTCTTAGTCTCTCCCATCAATTTGTTTTTTTTTTCAATCTTTTCAACCAATTTGATGAACACAAAGTTAATCTTTTTTCTTTATCTTTTTCTAAATATTTTACATCAATCTTAGTAGTAACTAATATTAGTTTATTTATAATTTATATTTATTATGCCATATTTTTTTTATCTTATTATGCTTATTTATCATATATCAAATTTTATCTTAATAAAATAATTGCATTTTAAAGGATTAAAAGAAATTAATAATTTAAACTTTTATTACTTCAAACTAATTAAATAAGAATTAACTTATTAAATATTTTCTTATAAACTATATATTGACAACTTAAAAATGAATTAACTTGTATGTATAATTAAATATTTGAATATAGTATTATAATAATAATGTTATAAATATTCAAATATTTGAATACAGATGTTATAATAATAATAATAATAATAATAATGTTATAAATATTATATATATATATATATAAATAAAAAATAATTAAATATTTCTTTTACATGTATATTTTAATATAAATATAATAAATTAAAATGTATATTTAATTAATAATAACTATAAATTATAAATATTTATTTATATATAAAAATATATAGTAAAATTAATTTATTATAAATATAATTATCTTTTTAAAAATAATATAAATTGGGACGGCGTGCGGAACCCGAAAGCCAGCAGAGACGAGATGGGACTTAATTCCTAACCCTGACAGGACGGGACGGGACGGTTAAGAAAGTCGAGGTGGGACGGGAGGCAAAACCCGCCCCGCCGCCCCGTTGTCATGCCTGATTTTAGCTTACCCTTCCATGTAAAAAACCTATTAAATAAACGAAATTAATTTTTAAAAAATATAATAATTTACATATTTTAGCCGTTCAAACTGTTCTGTCGTATTTACATCCCGAACCAGAAAGATAAAATACAGAGACTTTGGCATGACCAAGTGATGAAAGGGAGAATGGAAGCGCTAAAACTGTGCACTCTAACATGGAACCCACTGAAGCACTTTTTTCACTCTCACGCATTTCGTCGAACACCTCGAACGCTCGTTATCCGCGCCTGCTCTTCGTCCACCGCAGCCGATACCAGGGCCGCTGGTCGTAATCGCCGGGGCTCGGCGTCGTCGTCCACCACTTCGACTTCCGATAGGGACGCCATTCGAGCCATTCGCTTGAAGAAGGTATGTGGCTTTCGCTCACTTGCGACGGTGTCGTTTTGTTCCGTGTATGGATGAGTATAAAGCTGAATTGATGTTCAGTTTTGAATTGGCAAATTCCGCGTTGTGTGGTTATTCGTTGAACTTCAATTAGGAATGACGTTGATTGCCTTGTACTTAGTTTTGTTATCAAAAGTTTATCTTTATATTAATCTGTTCTCCCTCCCGTCTTGTTTACAGTTCTAGCGATACGAGAATTTGATTTTAGGGGAGGATAAGAATATCATGTGTGTAATGGAAAATTGAATGCATGGTTGGGGCAATGTAATAGATTTTGGTTGAGATGAAGTGTTTTTCTAACAAACTAGTGGTCTTTATTTTTGGATTCTCTTATCTTTTGGGTAAAGGCTTATCATTTTTGAAAATTCTTCTTTTTGGTTGTTTGTAGGTTGAAGAGTTGAGAATCAAGGGGCTTGATCCGTATGCTTATGAATGGGACAAAACTCACGGTGCTAGTCAGCTGCAAGAGATCTACATAGATTTAGCAAATGGTGAGGAAAAAAATAGTGAGAGTGACCACGTATCTGTTGCGGGAAGAATTGTTGCCAGGAGGGCATTCGGAAAGCTTGCCTTTCTCACACTAAGAGATGATTCAGGGACAATTCAGGTTTCTTTTACTCTTTTTGTACAATCGAGGTAGAGATTAAGTAAATATTGTAAGTGGGGAAATCTATGAGCTATTTTGAGCTGTATATATTTATGTAAACTAGGGAAACCGTTGTAGTTATGAAGCATATTATAAATAAGAGTAGCCATGGTGTAAATTAAACTCACGGAATTCATCATATGTCTCTCGACCTCTCTCTTTCTCAACATGTTGTCTAAATCTTGAAATGAGACAAACCCTAATAACTGTAATTACGTAATCTCTAACATTAACTTTGAACTAAGACATGTTGGCCTTTCGTATGTTTATGGTATGTTATCATGTTTCTTTGTTATTATTATTCTAGTTTTAAATGTTAGATGCATTTTTATTCACGTAGAAGATAGAAATTACAGTTCTTTCTTTAAAGTGAAAGGTATAGGGAGCTGCTAACTGAAGTTGTTAAACCTATGATTTCAGCTCTATTGTGATAAGGAGAGACTCATCGGTGATCAGTTCGAACTGTTAAAGGCACATGTTGATATTGGTGATATAGTAGGTGTAAGAGGGACAATAAAACGCACAGAAAAAGGTATTTATCTATTCATTTTATTAAATGTATTTTTTAGGCTAGAAATAGGTTTTTAGTAAATTGATATGGCTTGCATTTGCAACATGCTACACCTTGAGCCCAAAGATTTCCATCCTTTTTCTATGTTAATTGAGTGTGAATAAATGTAAGAACTGATAGTGCTAGACAGAGTGCACGAGAAAGAGAGGATTTCTCATTACTGTAAGAAAAATTACAAAAGGTAAAAATAGATAGAGTATAAACCAAAAAGGGTTTATATATACAAGGCTTAACAGAAAGTTGTTATCTATGATATTAGAGTTGTACAGTAACAAACTAACAGAATGGAAAAATAGAAAAATAATGGAAGAATATATCTATGATATCTCTATCACCCTCCCTCAAGGTAAGCATGGATGTTGTGCATGCTTAACTTGGATACAATAGATTTGAATATAGATAGATGAAGAGATTTTGTAAAGATGTCATCAATTTGGTTGTTGGAAGGAACATGAAAAAGTTTGATAAGACTTTCAATAATCTTCTATCTTGTAACATGACAATCAATCTCGATATGCTTGGTGCGTTCATGAAATGAAGGGTTCTTGACAATGTAGATAGCAAAATTATTATCAGAAAACAGAATATGATGTGGAAACTAGAACATGAAGATCTTGAAACAAGTAATGGAGCCATTGTATTTCACAGGTTAGGGAAGTAAGAGATCTATATTCAGCTTAAGAGGATGACCTTGACACGGTTGTTTACTTCTTTGACTTCGATGCAACAAGAGTAGCACCAATAAAGATACATAATCCAGAAACAGATCTTGTAGTAGCACAGGTGGCCCAGTCAGAATAAGAATATGTGTGCACTTTTAAAGAATTGTCAGCAGCATATAATAAGTCATTTCCTGAAGCATGTTTCAAATATTTTATAACAAGGACACAATTATAGGAATATACTCATTATCACATATCATTCTCTCTAAAACATTAAATAACAAGAAATTGGGGAATGGATGAAAGAGTGAAAAAGAAATAAATTGATGCAGAATAATAAAAATTAAATTAAATTACTATAGAATATTAACGACAATTAAAATTAAACTGAAACAGTAATTTAAATAATTGAAATTTATAAAATTAAAATAAAGTGCTTTTAATTAAAAGTGCAAGAATCAAGAATTGTTTTAAAATAAAATAGTGCAATAATTAAAATTGAAATTAATGAAAATAGAATTTGAGTAAAATAGTGAGAAAACAATTGATTTCCTGATTCGAATGCAATGTCACTTACCCTAGGTGACGAAATTAGATTGCTTTAACCCTTATTCCAACCCGAAATTAACCAACTAAGCGAAGATTAACCCAAATTATCCTTATACTATTAAGCATTACGTACATCACATAATCTTATCTCTAACACAGGATTAAGTAAACTGTGATATTGGTTTCAGTTTATTAAACATTAACCCAAATTATCCTTATACAATTAAGCATTGCGTACATCACATAATCTTATCTCTAATACAGGATTAAGCAAACTGTGATATTGGTTTCGGTTTATTAAGCATAAACAAATTATAATTCAACATTGAGATTAGAAGATGAAGAGTTAAGAGAACAAACGAAATAGAAGAACAAAACCTCAAAGATCTTCTGCATTCTTCTCAAAAAATCAATACAAAGATTTAGCTATCCATGAAAAAATCGAAACGCAGAAGAAGAGACATAATTAAAATTGAAACAAAGAATGTATTAAAAATAATGATAGAAGAGGAAACGAACGTGAATATATAATGCAAAAATGCCGTTCGGAGGATGCAGCTGCGTGATGTGCCTCCGCGTGATGTGCCTCTCTTTAACCCTACGTGATCACTACCATAAATAACCTTAAACCCTAATCTTAATCTAGGTTTGGGCTCACTGGCCCACAAAACACATCATAAACAAATAAAACAAAAACCCTAATCCTAATGGACAGTTGGCCCAATCTTCTAAGCCCAAAATTGCTTTAAACTGTCCTAAAAATAATAATGAGCAAAAATTAGATCAAGTAGATTCAAATTAATTAAAATCTGAATTACTGGCCCAATGAAGCCCAATTAATAAAAATTCACTAATAATAGACAGTTAAACCCAAAATACTAATTAAAATTAGTACAGAAAGGCAAGAAAATATGGGAATATAATGACTCATCAATGGGCGAAATGGGTTTTAGGGAAGTAAAAAGGGATTTAGAAGAGCATATGTGATCAGTGGCATCACTATCAATTATCCAAGAAGAAATATTTGGATTAGATAAAGAACCTGAGGGTTAAAGATTGCACTTATTCACGCTAGCAGTAGAAGTAGAGCTAACAATTTGAGATTGTTGTAACGAGCGAAGAATGGCCTTGTATTGCTCTTGAGAGAAACTGCATTGGACACTTGGTTTATCAACCAATGTGGTAGAAAGATCAGTGGGAGCCACAGGGGAAGCAGTATCAGACACATGAATAGAGGAATTGGATTTAGAAGTTGGTTTGGAGGAGGGTTTATGGCCTTGAGGAAGTCTGAATTTGATCCAGCAATTATCAGAAGTGTAATTTGTTCACTGACAATGATCGCAAAATTTATTGCGTCCTCCAAACCTATTAGAGTGCCCTTGTCCACGAGATCCAGGAAAACTACCGTGATCATTGTTATTATTTTTAGGGTTTTCCTGAAAATTCAAATTGGTCAGGGATTTTTGAGTATTCTGAGAAGAAGTGCCATGGAATTCTCGCTCCTGCTGAAGAATTAGCGAGAACATTTTGAGACAAGGAGGCATGGGCTCCATGAGCATAATTTGGGATCAAACTTGGGAGAACTCATCATGCAAACCATGGAGAAATTTGATGACACAATCGTCGTTGCGTTCTTGTTGAAGCTTTGAAAGTAATTTACAAGAACATGGTATGGCACAGAGGCAAACGAGAACAGTTCAGTAGAGAGAGAGTTCTTTTCAAATTATCTGAAGGCGAGTGTAATACTGTGAAATGGAGGAATCACCTTGCTTGCAAGCGTAAAGATCTTCTAGTAAATCGGCGATATGAAATTTATCACCGGGAGAGAATCCTTGTTGAAGATCGGTCCATATTTCAAAGGTAGAATCCATCCACATCACCGATTGCTTGATAGAGAACGTCATCGAACACGTTAACCAAGAGATGACCATCTTGTTGCATCTGCTCCAGGCTTCCTGATGAACAGCGTCAACGGATGGGCAAGGAAGAGTACCAAGAACAAATTTTTCTTTGTTCTTGGTTTCAAGAGCGACGAGCACATCGTGCCTCCGTTGTTGATAGTTATTTTCATCAAGCAAAGGAGTGACGGGATCGAGAGCAGGATTCTTTCCTAGATGCAGATACAGGGGATGTGACGGAGTGAGAAGAGGATCAGAGGCTAACGGTGGGGCAGCCATGAGAGAAGGAAGAAAAAAAATTTGGCTCAATCTGATACCATGATAGTGCTAGACAGAGTACACGAGAAAGAGAGGATTTCTCATTACTGTAAGAAAAATTACAAAGGGTAAAAACAGACAAAGTATACACCAAAAATGGTTTATATATACAAGGCTTAACAGAAAGTTGTTATCTATGATATTACAGCTGTACAGTAACAAACTAACATAATGAAAAAATAGAAAAATAATGGATGAATATATCTATGATATCTCTATCAAGAGCTGACAGTAATTCTGTGACTGTTGTATGCATGTGAATTCACATGCATAAGCCCTCAATAAATTGAGAATACTGAAAGTATGCTGCTGATGTGTGTACACAAATTCTAGTACGTTAGCAAATGTGAGAGTTCAGGGACATGTTTATTATTCAAGAATTTTTTTTCTCTTTATAAAGGTTACAATGTAAACAACAGGTTTACCCAAATTGGAAGCTTCATATCTCTAGGTGGATTAAACCAAATAATACAACTAGAGCTTCATATCTCTAGGTGGATTAAACCAAATAATTTTGAAAATATTTGCTGATACTTATTGTATTATGTTCAACTAGAGTTTACTCAGCCATATTTGGTTTCATATATGATTTTCTTGTCTTATAAATGTCAATCTACAGAAGATTTCTAGTATATGTCATACCTGTAATTACTCTTTCAAGTGACTAGGAACTAGTTATGATAATTGCAGACTAAGAAATAGTTAACACCTAAGATTGATATCTTTTCGCTGCTGGATCAAATATGCTCTTTGACAAATGCCAGCTAATAGATTGATAGTTATGACACAGTTGACCATCTTCTCATGTTTTTTTCTGGTCTTACTTCAGGAGAACTTTCTGTGTATGTTCTATCTTTTGCAATCCTTACAAAATCTCTGCTTCCACTGCCTGACAAATATCATGGACTAACTGATATAGATAAACGTTATAGACAGAGGTAAGCTCATACTTTTAATATTTGTGTTTGTTCCTTATTTATTCTGTAATTGCAAAAAGAGGGATGAGGTCTGGATTTTCCGTTCTCTACTTCTCTCTCTCTCTTCACTAGTAATCCCAGTATTAGTTGAGTTTTTCTTTCCCAGTCCCAAGGCTATATATATCTCGTTAGTGTTTAGTCACGTTTTAGCTTAGTGTTGCACCCATTATCCTTGTATTGTGGGAGTAGGTGGTGCAGTTGAGATAGAATAGGGATATGGTTTGTGTTTTTCACGTGGGATCTGATCTTGAATATTTTAAGTTTCTGCTAGAGATCGTCTTATAGCCTAAATCTGTAGCGTAGCGTCTAACAACACATTCAAATAACTGTTATATACTACGTCTAGTTGTGTTCTTTCTTCTTTATCATCTCAAATAAATATCGTCATCTTTCAAAAAATTTAATGGATTTTATTTTTTATTTATTTCTTATTTTATGAAGTATAACTTATATCTTATTCTTTCTTTTTTATTTTTGTGCAGTTATTTCTTATTATTTCTTTGTTGCATGTCTTCTCTAATTGTCCCTTACACTTTTGGACTAAATTGATTAGTTCTGATTTAAAATGTTTCATCACGCTTTGTTGTGGACTTGTGACTAGGTATGTAGATATGATTGCAAATCCAGAGGTAGCAGATGTATTCCGTAAAAGAGCAAAGGTGGTTCGTCTTCCAAAATTTTTTATTTCTTAAGAGTTTAAAACCAATAGTTTTCAACTATTTTAAATTTAATATTGAAATATTATAATGTTGTAGATTCATTAAGTTTATTTTATCTTCTGTTCCCATGTCTTTTAATTGAGTTATAACTATTTTTTGTTTCCATTTTTCTTATTGAGGTAATTGAGATATCTTATTCTCACTTTGTGTTGTACCTCTTTTCTATCTAGTATTGTTCTTTTCTATAAATAAGTGGAGTAAGGAACAGATCAAGCTGAAATTTTATAAATTCATGGGAGAATATCAAGGGACAAAACTACAATTGCTCTTTGAGTTTATATGGGGAGTGTTTTTCCAGTTCAGCCAGAGAATGTCTTTTCACTTTTCATGTTTTTCTCCTCCAAAATAATCTAGACTAGAAAGTAAAAAAATTGTAGCCATTGAATTTTGGTAAACTGTTATGGTAAAGTAGCACCTAGGTGACCGGTTAGTCATGGGTAATGGGTTTGAATCCAGAAACAATCCTTTTTCAAATGCAAGGTTATGACTATGTACAATGACCCTTCCCCATAACTTCGCATAGCAAGGAGCCTTTTGCATTGGGGTACTTATTTTTCTTTTTGATTGGTAAATAATATGTTCAGTATGTCTATTTTGGGTTGTGATACATTGTCATAATGTTACCATTTATCTTTCTTGAAATCTTTTTACTTAAGTGTAATGATACTTTTTTTGCCTTAATTATATATTTGATTTGATTTGGAAGAAGATTTAGAATTTTGGTTTCAGGGATCACGGGCTCCATTTTTGTCTGTTCAGACTGATCAACGAAATTCTCTTATGTATTGGCTAAGCAAATAACTGTAATCAATTCCATTCAAATAGGTTGTATCGGAGATACGGAGGACAATGGATTCTTTAGGTTTTGTTGAAGTTGAAACTCCAGTTTTGCAGGTTTGTTGATTTTAATGTAACTACTCTGGCTACACATTTTTATTTGCTTAAACATGTATCTTCAAATGTTGGGTACACTACTAGTTGTTTGATATATATTGATCTTTCAAAAATAATTTTGATCTAACCGACCAGCTTGATAAACATAATCTTTTTGTTTGGTTATTTTCATATTTATGTATTGTACTGGACCTCTTGAAAGCCTGATTGATATAGTGAGACCTCAATTAAATGGCATTGTGGAACTTGTCAGACTTGTACTGTTTAATATGTCATTGTTGGCTTTGATTTTCACGCAGCTAACTATTCTGGTTATAAGTGCAACCAAGTCACCTCTGTTTAAGTTTTGCTTGTCTCCTGAATTTGTTTGAATCCTTCATTATCAATCAAGACCAATACCAAACCTTTGATGATAACTATTTTGGTGCTATTGCTAATTATTTATCTAATAGCCATTTGTGTTTAGAAATTTATTTTGTCACCATGTTTAATGATATTTATGCCTTGTGCTTTCGTTTTTGCTTCTGTTCCAATTCACTAACTCCTTTTTTTATTATTATTTTGAGTATTTCTGTGCCCTAATAATATAATTAAATGAATTTTGTCAAAGTAGTACACGAGATTCCTTACAAATTTTGGACTTTGTATATGAATTGTACCATATGCTCTTTCAGTCTCAATAGCAGCTACTAAGTGATAAATGATGTAATTACTGACTGAAATGCCTATTGTAATTTTATTAGTATGAAATGTGAGGTGTCTTACATTTGTACACGGAAGTTTCTTTTTCCCTGAAACTGATTAATTTCATTGACTAGGGAGCAGCTGGGGGAGCAGAAGCCAGACCATTTATTACATACCATAATTCTTTAGGAAGAGACCTATATCTGAGAATTGCAACTGAATTACATCTGAAGAGAATGCTGGTGAGATTTGATACACTTGTTATTTGTCAAGTCCTGCTCAGAAAAGAATTCACAAAAACATTCTATCTGCACAGTAAGGAAGTATAGAGGGATTAGACTTTTTTATTTTGTATAGTATGGATGTAATTCTATAGTTAATATACATTAAGTATTCATCCTGAATATAATGCAAATGAATAAAATTACTAGTCAATATCTTGTTTCTTTTTTCAAATTCTGAAAATGCTATGGGCATACTGAAATATTACTGTTTACAATACTAACAATTTGTAAATGTTGTCTTTTCTGTTTAAGGATAATTTCATTCATTTTTAGCTGTAAACTTTTTTTAAATTTCTTCGTCCTGTATAGGGTACTTTTTCAAGCTATAAATTTGAAATTGGCTAGATTAACATGGATGTTATTGATCTAGTGAATTCATTAACCATTTTAATCTTTTTCTTTATGGTATAGGTGGGTGGTTTTGAAAAAGTATACGAGATTGGCCGAATATTTAGAAATGAAGGAATTTCAACTCGACATAATCCTGAATTTACAACTATAGAGGTAAGTAAAAGTTTAGATTCAGAAGGTGAACTTTTAAGCTTCGATTACACAGGCCCAAAGTGCATGTCTATAGCATAAGCAGAAAACCTGGCTTTAATAACAACTAAGTGTTGATTTATGAGAGGAAAAAGAAGAATAACTGAAGAGGGCGGGAAGTGGGAAATTCAGTTAGCAGAGTGCGAGAGAATATCTTAACAGAATTGGATTAGGTGGCATGTAAGAGGATTCGGGACTCAAGGGGGAAGAGGGAGATGTTACATACGAGAAAAATAGGTGTTTGGGGGTATGGAAAATTATTTGGTGATGGTTTAGTGGAACACTGCACTACCTTAGGGACAGTCTTGGTTTGTTTTATAATTTTTTTTTTCTCTGTTTGCATTTAGGTTTTCGTAGTTGCAAGGAGCTCTGCTCCAATTTGTCTGAGATAATAATAACCACTAATGTTAGCTCTATCAGACTATTTTTCATGGATATCGTTATTCTATATTTCATGCTTTGTTGACAGTCTTTACGTCACCAGTCCCAAGATCAAATAAAAGAAAAGGGCAGTAGTTAGGCGACAACCATGTTAAAATTTTGTCAAATCCTGACATGGATCAACACTTGTTCTGAATGTTAGTTTTAGTACTTTGTGTGGACATACGTAACATTTCTCCATATCTTGGCATAGAGCTTAGGCTTTCAGGCAAATTGTTCTAACAATGATTACTTAATATTTCAATTTTGCATATGATCTTTCTCATTATATCTTGAACTGCTTCTATTGAATATTGATATTCTTTAGATGTACGAAGCATACTCGGATTATCAAAGCATGATGAATTTGGCGGAGGAGATTGTCACCAGATGTGCTCTTGGAGTTCATGGGAAGCTTACATTTGATTATCAGGTAGACAGGTTCTTACAAAATATAATCTAGAATTGAACTTGTCAGATCTGTCCTAAAGGAAAAGAAATATAAAACACAAAGGCATCTCAAAAGAGAGTTGTTTACAAAATTGCTTATGAATAAAGTAGTATTATATCATAGATCCGACACACAAAAGTTGTTTAAAATTGGACAAAGTTACTTATTAGTAACTTTCTTTCAATTTTAAGTAATTTTCTTTAATTTTAATGAACTTATGCGTGGAATCGGCAATGAAATAATAGTTTTTATTCCTAAATAATTCTTATAAGCAACCGTTCGTTAGATATGCTCTTAAGCTCATATTGTATTGTTATGGCCAAGAATACAAGAAAAATTCACATGGCCTTTTTAAGTGGTCATGTGTCCCCTGGATAACTTTTCATCTTGACCACCCATGTGTAGTTTTTTAGTCCAAATTTATAGTTTTTATTTTTCAAAATAGTAAAGAACCCGCACTTGAAACATCCCCTATGTAATCTTAATTGCACATACGACCAAATTACTTTCAAATTTCAAAATAGTCCAAATTTCATATGATCAATTACTTTCAAATTTCCCTTTTGTATGTATCTAATCTTAATCGCACATACGACCAAATTTATATATTTATATTCGAATATCATTCTTCCCTGCTGCCCTTCTGTTTTCATCCTAGCAAAAAAGGATATTATGTTACAATATTGCTTTGAAAATTAAAATGGATTTTTTATATTTTCCGGACATTTCCTTTCTCATTTAGTTCCTTCAATGATGACTTAGCATTAATAAAAAATTAAATATCATCTGGTGTTTGATGAGTGATGACATTTTGTCGAAATTTCTTTCTTTATAACAAATTTGTTGAAGGTGGTGTAATGATTCCTTACAGGGAGTCGAGATATGTCTGGAAAGGCCCTGGAGGAGGGAGACTATGCACAATCTTGTTAAAGAAATTGCCGGGATCGATTTCAATGATTTGGGAAATGATTTTGAGGTTGCAAAGCGGGTTACTCAGGATACCCTAGAAAAGAATCTTGATAACAAGGATAAAGGTTCCATTGAAGCATGCCGATCTGTTGGCCACCTCCTTAACGAGGTTAATTTGCTTCACCATTTTCATCCTGTTATATGAGCATCCACTTTTTATTCTTATATTTGATGAAGTTAGTACTTTTTTGCATCCTTTTAAGTGATGATATTTATATAGATACTCCTCTGATTACACTTATTGCATTTATTATATTGTCAATTTGACTTGTACACACCAACCGGATTGTTTTTGTTTTGTTTATTTAGGTTTTTGAGATTTTTGTAGAACCAAAGCTCATCCAACCTACTTTCGTTCTAGACTATCCAATTGAGATATCTCCACTTGCCAAACCACACAGAAGGTAGAAACATCTCATAAAATATCAAATAATGTTATTTCCTGTTATTAAAGGTATTTGTATCCAACCTACTATGAAAATATTAATTGTTAGTACATAGAATATGTTTGTTTCGCAGATTAAAAACTCATTCCGGGGAATATGAATTTGGGAATGTTGAACTACGTTCTTTCTGGCATGCAGTGACTAAATTTATTGCAAAAAAGGCACCCTAACCAAACACAATAAGAAAGTGATGCACATTTTCTGCTTCTACATATAATCTTCTATCTTACACATGATCCTCCATTAGATCCACAGGTTTGACAGAGAGATTCGAACTTTTCATTTGTGGTCGTGAGTTGGGCAATGCATTCTCTGAATTGACTGATCCTATAGATCAGGTAAGACTCCAAAATTTTCAAACTATTCAGATCCAAGCTGCACAGCCTGTGTGTATTGTGCTTACCGTACACTAGATATAATGTTTGTCATCGAATGTTTCTTATAATCAATAACTTGGGAAGGGGAAAATAAGATCCTGCTAAGATAAATATAAAATTCTATTCTATTAGTTTTTGAATTAGGTTCAGGATGTTGTGGTTTTTAGTTCAGAGGAGTTTATATATCTTTTTCTTTTTTTTTAAATCTGCAATCACCTTAACAAGATAGATGACATAGTGAATAACAAGTTCAGCATCATTTATGAAAATTTGATGACATATCAACAGGAAAACATGTCAAACTTGGTGCTTATTTAATATATGCAGGAGTGCATGTTGTTGCGCATTAACTATGTGCGTTTCTCCATTTTTTCACATCCAATTTTAAGTTAACATAGAAGCTGCAAAAGATCTGCTTCAATTTTACTTGAATAGCCAAGTTAGATATTTAGAACCAAACATGTTAAGAGATTTGAGTATGTTTGTTAATCTGTTCCAAACACTATCAGAAATAGAAAATGGACTTTGTTCATACCAACATGTCTAGAAAAATAACGAACTCTAATGATTATTTGTAGGCAACTTAATTAGCTGTCTCAAGTTAAATATGGTGATTGAATACTTTGATGACAAATAAATTGGATTCTTTTTGAACTTGGTAGAGGGGACGCTTGGAAGATCAAATTAGACAGCATGAAAAGAAGAGGTTAGCTGTTTCAACAAATGATGATAAAAAGGAAGTAAAGGAAGATGACGATGACTCGTATGAAGTGACTCTTGATGATGACTTTCTCACAGCTTTGGAATACGGAATGCCTCCAGCTTCTGGAATGGTATAGTCATTAGTCTGCACTGCATAGCTCTGTATAGTTTTGGGACTAACCCTTTAATTTTTTTATTTTTGGTATTAACGTGGTCACAATTGAAGGCACTGAGTCTGTCCAATGCAACCAACAACTATCTTGTCTTGAAATAAAATTGATAACAGATTAAATTCCAGATAGTGTCAGTTTTTAAGAGGAAAATCCTCACATTCAATTTAATATCATAATCATTCTTCATTTTAAAATATTACTTTCATAAGAGCTGTGTTGTAAAGGTCCATTATGATTTTCATGGTGTGTATAGTCAAGTCGACATTTTATCTTTAAATTTTTCAATAGTTTATTGCATTTCTCATTGAATAGCATATGTCTTAGAAATTAATGAATTATAAACTGCTACTGGAACTTTAATGCATTTGTTCGAGTGATATAATAAGTGTTAATAATCAACAATTGCAGGTTAATGTTTTCACTTTTCTGAATTATAATGTTAAAATAGCAAATTGTTTCCTGTTGTAGTTTTTTAATTGCCATTTACAAATCCAGGGACTTGGAATTGATAGGCTCGTGATGCTTTTGACAAATTCTCCCAGTATTCGAGATGTTATCGCCTTCCCAGTACTCAAGGTGCAGCAATAGTGATAGTTTTGTGAGATCACTGTGCTAATTTTGTGCTCTTTTCTTAATGCCAGTACTGAGGAGCCTCAATTATATTTGAATTCATTTGTACAATATGTAACATGAGCAAGTTATTTATTATTCCCTCAAAAATCTGTTAGGAAGTTTTGATTTGTGCCAAGCCAAAATATTTCACTTTAGAATATCAATAAAGGATTCATTCTTCTTCTTCTCCTACAATAATATAATTGTCCTCTTACCTAAATTTTAATTAATTTACACCTACACCCTATTTTTATTAAAATAAATATAAATTTAAATGTTTCTGCTTCCTATAATATACCTTATTGTTTTAGTTTTGACCCTTGTATTTTTTTATTAAATAGTTATTGTAGTTTTGGCCCTTATTTTAATTTAGCCATTTATATATTTATTTCTTCATTTTAGTTCCTATAATATTTTTGTTTATTTTGAGTTAGTCTTTTTGATAAAAAAAAAGGCAGGGATTTAAAAGGAAAGTATTCATTTTGCAAAGAAAAAAAAAATATTACAAGAATTAAAATAAAATAACAAGAATAAATATATGAAAAAAATTAAGAAAATTATTTAAGAAGGATCAATCTTATAAGGATTAAAAAAACATAAGGCATATTGTATATGAAAAGTTATATATATTGTCTTAAAAGACTCATTTGTCATCTGCCAAGATAAGGAAAGACATATTTACCAAAATAAACATGAGATGTTAAAAAATGTAAATAAAAATGTCCGAAATATTTTAGCCTAGAAATCCCTTCAAAATCCAGTAGAGTAATAATGTTTTCACATTTTTTATTTATTTATGCATTATAATTTTTATCTTTCACGCTATTTTGCATTTTCTTATATGTATCCTATGTTTTAAATAATTGCTATAAGAGTAAAAATAATTACTTTTGTTTTTCTTTTGTATCAGTAAGTAATTAAAAATTTGTATTTATCTTATTTGAATAATATTTTATGGAAAAATATTATTTAATAAAAATAATATAAATTTAGTATTCATCATGTATTATTTTTTTTAAATAATAAATCATAATAGTAATTATTTTAACCATTATATAAAAAAATTGTTTCAAAAGATATTCTTTATATATAGAGAGAAAATAGATAGTATGTTTGTACAAATATTGCACAAAATAATTATTTTATAAATTCTATCATTACCAACAAACAATTAAAATTTAGTAAATTACTTTTAACTTTCAACATAAAGAAACAAATTGTAATAACACTTTTAAAGGATAACACCAAAGGTTTGAAGATCAAAACCCTACACACATACAGAGTACGTCTCTGCAGAGGCACTACATTTCCATTTCCCACTTTCTCTCTCTACATTCCAAAGAGAGGGAAGAAGAAGAAGAAATTCAATGGCAGCATCGACAGAGGTTGAGAAGAAGAATCTGAAAGAGGAGCCGGAACAAGTTGTGAATCCATGGGAGGTCTCTTCCAAAGGCAAAATCGATTACGACAAGCTCATCGACCGTTTTGGTTGCCAGAAGCTCGACGACACTCTCATTTCGCGCCTTGAACGCCTCACCTCGCGCGCTCCGCACGTCTTTCTACGACGCGGTGTTTTCTTCGCCCACCGGTACTTCCATTTCCTTCACTTGTCTCTCGTTTATTCCATTCATTTTATTAAGCGGGGATTTGAGAGTTTCGTTCTTGTTTCGCAGCGATTTTGCGGATATTCTGGACGCGTACGAGAGAGGCGATAAATTCTACTTGTACACCGGACGCGGACCTTCTTCCGAAGCGTTGCACTTGGGGCATTTGATTCCCTTCATGTTCACTAAGTGAGTGAGTTCGTATTTCACCCTTTTCTGTTTTGAGAATTTAAATATAATTTTTATTTGAATTTGTAGATCTAGTGTTGCCCTTTGTGATTGAGAGTGGATTTTAAAGGTCCGAGTCTATGGCATTTTATTCTTTAAAATATATAGTCGATGGAAAATTGTGAATCTGATGTGTTTCTTTTGTAATTACGAGTGAAATTTTAAGAGCAGGTTCGGAATTTGGTATGTCAGTTGTGTTTCTTTGGTCTCCAGAAGATTCTGTTTGTTTGAATTGGTTGACATTAGTGAGTGACTTGTCTCTAGGACCAAGTTGTGTACATTTAGTATGTGTTTGATTTACAGTTTGCAGGACAACAAATGACTTTCACACATTCCAAAGCCAAAATCGGAGAAGCAAGTTTACTAGTCCATCGGAAAAATATGGGATACGTTAAATCCAATGATTTCCACACCCTTAGTCTATTTCATTTTCTGTAATTGAAATTTTTTGTGTTATTTTTCCACTTAGGAAGTATGTTTTAAAGAGTGACTTCACAATTCATGTTACCTGTGTTGCTTTGGTATCCCAAAATTTGATGAAAATTTGTAACTTCAATGTTACATTTTCAACTAGGAGTTCTAAATTCAGTATTTGGTCTCAATAAATTTATGTTTATTCAAAATTTGGTTAATTCTAGTTACTTGTTTATTGAACCAAAAATTTACTCTATTTGATTTTTCGAAATAGAAACTTGATGGGAATTTTGTAAACATGGTTTGCTATTTATCTAGTCATGAGGAAATTATACTATTTCATACCTGCGATTTACAAGCCTTACATATTTTGGTCTCCAAAAGTTTCGTTTATTTAAATAGGTTCACTAATACTAGTGGCCTGTTTGGGACTGAGTTCTATATATTTACTCCCTTTCATCTTGTTAGATGGAAATTTGATGGTACTTCATAAATCTGGTATGTAATTTATCAAATTTCGACTTTATTATTTAAGGAGTGTTTGTTCAATGTGCATCACCTCAACTGTGTAGGCAATAGCTATTAGAATTTGCGTCAGTGTAGTTTGCTTTTTGTATTGATGTAGTGATTTTCATAAATGATATGTTAAAGGAGTTTTAGTGTGATAATTGATTGAAATTAGATGTTTATGTTTTGGGTCAAGCTTGAAAATGAAGGTGAGTTCTAAATTCTTGTGATTGTCGGGGATGTTTGTTCACATGGTGGAAAATGGTATGTAGGTATTTGCAAGATGTGTTTAAGGTTCCTCTGGTTATACAGCTCACTGATGATGAAAAGTTCTTCTGGAAAAATCTTACTGTAGAGGAGTGCCGAAGACTTGCAAGGGAGAATGCAAAGGATATTATTGCTTGTGGTTTTGACATTTCAAAGACGTTCATCTTTTCTGATTTTAATTATGTTGGCGGGTGAGTTATAAATGCAATTTTTTTCCCAGATAGTATATTTTTTTAGTACGTAGATTTATTAAATCATAGATTAGTTTAAATTCAAGGGGTTTTATTGAGGTTGTGTAGTTATAAATTATTAGAAATTTGACAGTCATAAAATTAGTTGAATCTCAGGCATGCTTTTCTCTTACACGAAAATAGTTCTCCAGTATTAACATACATAATTTCTTTCTGAGATGATGTTTTCTCAGAGAAATTTTAAGTTCAACAACCTTAACTGTGTGTGCACTAATAATGTTTTTGGGTCTCGTTCTCATATTTAAAAATAATGAAGAGTGAAAAACTTTATTTGGGGTTTTATTACCCATCATAATTAAAAAAAATATTGACTAAATTTTTCTGTTCTGAAATAAATTGTCGCATGAGAAATTTCCCTTCTCTTGTACATAAAAAATCTTCTGCCATCTTTGGATAATTTTCGCTTTCAGTTCCTTCTATAAGAACATGTGTGAGGTTGCAACACGTGTGACTTATAACCAGGCAGTTGGCATCTTTGGTTTTGCTGGGGAAGACCATATTGGAAAAGTTAGTTTTCCACCTGTGCAGGTATGGTCCATTTCTTCTGTTTGCAAAATTATTCCTATAGCTTTACTTTTTTTATTACCATAGTTGGGCTATTAGTTGGCTTCCTGAGCCTTTTCTCTTAATGTATTGTTATTAATGAAATGCAATAGCGGCACTATACGTATTTTGTTCAAATTGTGAAAGTTTGTCCTTTACAAGTTATTTGATGATGGAACTTTGACATAATTTTCAACTATTGAAAATGGAAGTTTAACATCATGATGATGGAACTATACATATTCCTGTGTGTTTAATACTTTGGATAAGTTGCTTTTTCTAGTTGTAATTGAATCCATTTTATTTGATTATAATTAATATTTTGAATTTTTTACAAGGTGATGATTGCATGTGCTTCATTTGTTTATGCAGGCTGTTCCATCATTTCCTAGTTCATTTCCTCACCTATTTTCTGGAAAAGAGAATCTCCGGTGTTTAATTCCTTGTGCAATTGACCAGGTCCGTTGGACTTAAATGCTTTAACATGCTAGTTGATTTTGGTTGAAAATTAACATGTATGGCAATGGCCTTATCTGATTACTGTGTATCTTTAAATTTATTCTTTTGTCCAAATTCTCTTCATACCTGTAGATATTTAAAGAAAGAAAAATGCCATGAAAAGGATCGGTTCCAACTTAAAGCATTTGGCATTTCTCAAATGCATGTGAACATCATGGTCTATTTTTTTCTATTCAAACATTTATATTATTCTTGGTAATAGTTTTTTCTTATGATATATTCAGGATCCATATTTTAGAATGACGCGTGATGTTGCTCCGCGAATGGGTTTCAACAAGCCAGCCCTCATTGAATCATTATTTTTCCCTGCATTACAGGTATTATTATGCTGTAAAAGATGCTCCTTTATCAAATTGATTAGGACAGTAACTGATATTTTGCATGCTCCTTATTAAACTCTTAATCTCACAAGTTGAATTTATTTATTTATTTATTTTATGTTATGTACTGTACTTGAGCTGTTGGGTATGTGTTCTGCTACCAGCAGCATTCTTAGCCATTCTTATTAGAATGCACATTTGCTGCTTGAGAGGAGGCATCTGCCACCATTAGAGCCACCGGCAGGAAGAGTTGGAGTGGAATTTGACATTTTTTATTGTCAAACTGTAAATTCAGAATAGTGTAAAATACAGAGAGCGTCTTATCATGTTAAAAAAACAGAATGAACATGAAAAACACAGCTTTATAGGAGTAGAGAAGAATGTGAAAAACTGAGATTAAAAATAAATTTTGAGACAGAGTAAAGGTGAGAAGAACAGGGAGCTGTAGTGAGAGTTTAGATGAAAAACAGAGAGCTTTATAGGAATAGAGAAGAATGTGAAAAACTCAGATGAAAAAATTTGAAGTGAAGAATGAGAAACAGAGAGCTTTGTAAGAGTAGGAGTAGAGAAGAATGTGAAAAGCTGATATAAAATAATGTAAAGCGGTTGGGGAACCAAAGAATAACTTGAATTTGGACAGCAATGAGAAGAACTGTGGACGAGTGGTGGAGCAGAGATCAATCACGAAAGCATAGTATGTCTTACCTTTTAGAATGGAGAGGACCAGAGGTTAAGTGAGAAACTGTTTGTGTCTCTGTAATGTAATGTTTTCAATTTAACCGCATTAAATTTAGGGGTTGGTGTTGGATATCGTTTGGGGTTCAAAAGCCCACAAACAGAACAAAAAGAACCCTAAAACTATCTGAAAATCGAACATGAGCAAACGCAAAAAGAGACCCTGCTCCCATACTTCTGTGATTCTGTGCAGCATCTCCAACAACTTTGCTCACAGGCAACTTTGTCCATGGACAAGTGCAGAGAGGGGGACTAGAATTATAGACTTGTACAATTCTGTGTGTTGGGATGTGATTCTGTCAACCATGATCTCACATCTTTAAGATATGTGTGTTTGCAGGGGGAAACAGGAAAAATGTCTGCCAGTGATCCCAACTCTGCAATATATGTGACTGATTCTGCAAAAGATATAAAGAACAAGGTTTGCTACTGAAATTACTTTCTTTAAAGCTTTTTTCTCTTTTTCTGTTGCTTACCTCCAAGTCTTTGTAGATTTATTTGTTCATTGTGACAAAATGAGCTGTAGTTTCTTTTTTCTCTCTACTAGTTGACATTAGTGTCCTTATAATGTGTATATGCAAAGTAGTGAATGATTTTGGTTCTCTTTTCCTTGGAAAGTATTCATTCCAACTTACTATCATATACTATATCTCAAGTAAATCTCTTTACTGGATAAATTAGGGTCGGTTTGAGAACTGTTTTCTGTTTTTGTTTACTTGCTTGTGCAAATAGTTACAAAATGCCATCTTGTTTTTACTTCGTTTTTTTTCTTATAGATTTGTATAGGAAACAATGGAAATGTAGGAGTTTTTTAACGCAGGAAACTACAAAAACAAGGGAGTATTTTTTGTAATTATTTGTAAAAATAAGAAATAAAATCAGTACATTTTCTAAAACCAAGTAGGCTGCAATATTTGCACTGGTCAACCTACTGCATTTCTGTTTTTATGAGCAACATATGTCTCGTTTTTTTCCTATATTCACTTGTTTTTTCGACCAACTGTACGGGTGGCTCTCTGCAGGTAAACAAGCATGCGTTTTCTGGTGGGCAAGATTCTGTTGAAAAACATAGGCAATTGGGGGCAAATCTTGAGGTACGGGAACTCTTGTCGCTTCATAAATAATGCAGTTTACTTGTAATGGATGTATTAAAATACCTAAGTCCTGAAAAGTGATAGAATGAAGGACTAAGAAGGCATATATATACCTAATCAAATTAAAACAAAAGATTAAACCCCTTTTTGTCTAATAAATTGTTTTCTTTTCTTTTAGTGCTACTGTCTTTACCTCTAGTTACAGTCCAAAATTGTTGACATTTTGTAACATGATTCAGGTAGATATACCAATTAAATACCTAACTTTTTTCCTAGAAGATGATGCTGAACTCGAACACATCAAGAAGGTATAATTTCTATCTTTTTTTCCCAATTTGTTTAATAAAATTATGAGGCTTGCTTTGATTTTTTTTCTCTAACTTGTTCAGTTATTCTCATGTAGGAATATGGAGAAGGGCGCATGCTAACTGGTGAGGTAAAGCAACGGCTAATTCAAGTCTTGACTGAACTAGTGGAAAGACATCGTAGGGCTCGAGCTTCTGTGACTGAAGAGGTATGCATTCAACAATACTAGATGTTAAAGTTGACATTTCGATTGTTAATTGCACAATCTTGCGTATTGCTGAAAACAATTATTAACTTGGGTGAGAGGACAGCCTCGGGTGGAATTAATGACAGCCCATATTGTTGAATAGTTAATAGAACAACTGGTTTTGGTTTACTCCGAGATAGATTTTGTTTGCTGAATAATCTGCCCACTACATAATTGGCGTAGTGGATGCAGTTGTTCAAGCTTGTATTCATGTATGTGGTGCAAAACTTACATATTCTCTTTCTCCATTATTCTTTCAGATGGTGGATGCATTTATGGCTGTCAGACCACTTCCCCACATGTTTGACTAGAGTCATCCTATTTCTGTTTGCCCCAACATTGATCCGAGATTCACTTGATAACCAGATTTTTTTTTTCTCAATATGAAAATGGGTTTTTTATACTACGATTTTATCATCAAAATGGCAAAGAACTTAGTTCCTTTTGAAGTGTAAGATTCGAGTTGTGAAAGGAAACGTAGCATTGGAAGACCTTTGTCATCACACGTGGGCTTGCAGTTGCTTAGCGTGTAAATGTAGTTCTATACAATGCTATAATGGATTATTAAATTAACATTTCTATTATCAATTAGAATTGCAAGACGATTGAATATTTTAATTTAGAGTCAAATGCTACAGTGCAATTATATTATATGGTTGAGATGTACTCCAAACTTTTTATTATATCTCCCCGTACGAAATAACCGTATGTTTACAGTGCAGTGCCTTAGTATAAATTTTTTATTCACTATTCAGTATTCAAATGTAAATTAAAGGTTGTTACGATCGATGGGTTTGAATAAAGAAGATCGAATTACTTTTATAATTTTGCTCTTGAAACATTTTAATTGTAATCCCATACAAGATCTTTCTTGTATCAATAAAACAATATTTTAAATAACTTTTTAATCAAGATTAGTAAAATTAATAAATCTTAAATGATTTTTTTAATAGGTGTGAAGTTAATTACTTTTATAATTTTTAAAGGTTGCAAAATAAATAATGTAAATATATTTGACATTCATTAGTTTGTCATTTTTTCCGTGACAATCACCGTTCTCACTTCTCCACCATCTGCACATTGCAGGCAAAACCAATGGGGAAACGAGTTGAGTATCAGAAGAACAAAATGATATACGTAACAAAAAATTTAGAAGACAACATTTCAAGCACTAAGAAAAAACATTAAGCCTGATTTACTATTGCTAACGTATTTTTGCTTGATACAAATGTTGAGTTGTAAATAAGGTATAATCTAAAAGTCAAGTGTCCCACCTTTAGTTGACCCAGAACAACCGCCAGATGTGCCATATGAACTTCCACTTGAACCGTCAACTGGGGCCTGGTTTAGACATTCTAAGACCAAAAACCTCCGTTTTTGCAATTTTATTGAGAACGTTGTGGCCTCTAGAATCACTGGAACCTGCATGTTGAAAATCAGTCAATTGGCAAAAGCTAGTCACGTGTCAGAATGAAAGAAAAAGTAGCTTCTTTATTCCTCCAATATAATTTTCAATTCGCTGAACTTTACAAGAAGGGGCAAGATCTATCGTATGAACTAAAAACCAATAGTTACCACACGAATAACTGCGTTTTCTGTTTAAATTCCCATAGATTCGCAAATTTGAAAGCAGCTCTCAGAGGCTTCTCTGTTTTAGTGAAAATGAGTTGAAAAGATGGATGTATGCAGGTTTTCCATTTAAATTCAAACACAGTTAATAAAGGCCAATAAATGATGAACATAATGCCAGAAGCTATTGCTTAAGCATGAAAATGCAGGATTGCAGGTGCTAGGACGGCATGAGAGAGAAAGGAGGATAGAGCATACAAACATACCAAAATGGGGTACAGTGAGGATGTAAACAGTTTGATTGAGAGTGCAAATCATATTGTGAACTATTGGTGCACAAAAGGAGTAATTCAGATAAATCAAAACGAAGTATGAATATAACCTGTGTATTTAATCGTGCAGCTTTGTGTACATTTAAAAGCCCAATCATATCCTGGTAACCAGTGAGGAGTTTTGCTAGTTCCTTGTCTTCATCTGAAACAAATAGAGTATAGTCCTGAAACTTGAGATAACTCATAAATAACACATGAAATATAAGACCTGGGAGTTGACATATGAACCTGGAATAGCTCTGACCGAAAGTAAGGTGTCTGCCATATGCTGCAATCTTAGTGAACAAGATGGAGAAAGAAGTGAAGGTGGAAAGGTTACAACAACAACAGCGTTTGAAGACCGGGCCATGCTCTTAAGGGACCTAACAAAGGAAAGCATATGCCACTCCTACAATAAAAGATAATGTCACATTTCAAATTAGAAAAATATTAAACTTATTCAGTACGAAGGATCACAAGACAGGATCTGCAAGCAGGTAAATGCTTTCCTAATTCATTTAGAGGAAAGGGTATATAAAAATCATAAAAAAAAGTGTATAGCTCAAAGACAAAAGAGAAACATATTTCAAAATAATGTGAAAAAAACTGGAAATATATTAACTCACCTCATTTGAATACTTGCATTGTGGAGAACAGAATGACTGAATTGCAATACGACCAACAGAGGAAATGTTCCCTTCATTTCTGTTCATGTCAACCATGATGTTTGTAAATTAAAAAGTGGATAGAAAGAAAAATACCTTTAAGAAAAAAATTATAAGAAATCATTCACATAGTCTTTACCACAACCTAATTGATGCAAAACAAGAAATTCAGAGGGAATTAAGAAAGCCCCTGTAGAAATAGTCGAACTCTAATTACCATGATCGTGCGCCCGACTTTCTAATGTAAGGATCCAGAAGCAACATCAAATATAGTTCGAAATTGCCATTACTGCAATACTAATCATCCCTTTTACTCCAGAATTCAAAGAATGATATTGAAGGAATTTCTGGTATAATGATAAAAAAATATTTTTCAAAGCCAATTATGACAAGTGCATGAATTTGCAAATACTGCTTGCCTTCTAGATGCGTAATCCCTATTGTATTTATGATCATATAGTGCCCATCTAAATAAATAACAAATACTATCTGACAATAAGCTACGTAAGACCATCAATCATAACAATGAAATGCCAACTATAAATAGAGAAAATTGACTTAAATCCTAAATTCCATGTGCTAAAATCTATTTTTCAAAAGATTTAATAAAATTTTCTTTAGAAAGAGCATTGTACACGTATGATCAAATCCAGACTGTAAACCTTGTCCTATTCAATCTCCTTTTATTTTATTCAATTCAGAAAAACTTGACCTCAATCAACTGCGGCAATATGAATAAAAAGTTGAATACTGTCAAGAACCTGTTCTCCTAAAACCTGTAGCTATTATTAGCTGGAGGTCTATGAATCATCTTGTATCTCTAAGATACATTTCTAAAGTAGTGGTACAGATAACCTCACCTCGAGAGTTTACCGAGAAATCCAGCACAATAATCTTGAAGTGCGGTAAGGTTCAGAGAATCTTTTATGCTAACACAATCTACATTATTGCCACTAAAAAAATGTCGATCCAGGGGCTTTCTCAGGTCAAAATCATTACAGTAATCTTGCTGACCACCTATAATGTAAGTAAGCTTCAACTCAGTAATTTAGACAACATCAAATTGATTAACTTGCACATTGTTCCCTCCCCATAGGACTTTATAAAAATTGATCACAAATGCATATTAACAAATCTAAGAAACAAGGATACTACATGGGATACAGATATGATATATACAGTCACAGATACAGAACTACGACATTTTTAAAAATAATATGATTATACTTTTGAATGTGAGTAAATTATTTCAGTTTTGGCTATTTAACATGTTAGATATTGTTGAAATATGTCATTTTTAATGTTTAACTCATGTTTCTTTTGTGTGTATATACTCCTTAGTCTAGGGATAAGGTTTTGGGTTGAGGTCTATATCCCCTCTTTTGTATTCCTTCTTTATAAATAGAAGAGTAACAATGTCTTTAGACACTTAATTGAAACCCTAAACAATTTTCTCAGTATCAGAGCAGGCAAGATCCTGCACTAATTTTTGGTCATCTTTATCACCTCCGGCCACTGTGAGTTGTGTCTGTCATCCAGTTTGAACTGATGAAGTTAGGGTTTGGTGTGCCTCGAGAAGCACGACTCAACCCTACAACTCGCATCTCCGTTTGTTGTTCCATGCACGGTTCTCCCAGAGTATCTCTTTAAGTGTGTGTGTCACGTGCCACTGTTTAAGGTCAGAATTAAGTGCGATCAACACCTTCCAAGTTGCATGGTGCCCTTACTTTTCTATTAAGAGAACTTTGAGAGCTAGGTCTCGTGGTTGCCTCTCTTGGTTAGTTCTCCTTCTTCTCTAGTTAAAATGTCTTCAACCAGCAACGCCTTCTCTTTCTCTGCCACTCCTACCATCACTTGTGCAAGACTCAACTAGAAAAACTATTTATCCTAGTCTGCATCTATTGAACTATGGTTCCTAGGTCAGGGATACCATGACCATTTAGAAAAGGACACTAGCTCTATTTATGCCTTAGAAGGTCCAGTGGGAGAAAATAAATTTTACTCTACACAACCTTATGCAGTCTGTGGAACCTGAATTCTTGAGGTCCTCTGGTCATTCAAAACATGCTCTTCTCTTTGGAAAAAGGCACAAGATATTTTTGTTAATGATATTTAATGTCTCTTTGATGCAATTCAAAGGGTTCGTCGTTCAAGCAGACTAGCCATGATATGATGTCTCATATTGCAAAAGTTAGGGTTGTTGTGGAAGAGTCAAAAAGGTTTCTAGTGGCAAGTAACTCAGAAGAGTTGAATACCAAACTTGTTAATATATATATGATTTTGATTTTGAAGAGCTTGCATCCTAACTTTGATCAAATCTTAACTGGTAATTAGGTTCCTTTAATAGACAATCTTGTCACGAGATTTATTCATGTATCCAACCTTATGAAAGATGAAAGTCAGGAGGAGACATTAACTTTAGTCATGATTGCTCCTCGAGGACGATGGGGGGATGCAATAGTCGGAAAAGACGTGGTAGTAAAAATGTAGTACCCAATGCTCCTATTGCAAGAGAATGAAACAGACACAGGAGGAAAAATGTTATTCCTTGCACGATTTTCCAGACAAGACTACTACTACTCATGTTTCTAAATTTGAAAAGTCATATATGAGGATTTTTGATGAGGAGTATCAGGAATTTTTTAAGTTCAAATCTGAAAAGTTCAACAATCAAGGTCAATCTTATTCAATGTCAAGTGATTCAACAACATACATTTCTCAATCTATGGAAGGTTAGAACACATGGATTCTTGATTCAGATGCCTCTGAGCAAATCTCTAGTAATAGGTCCTCATTTTCCTTTATGCAGACTCCTTGCACAGATCATTGGAATGTTTAAGATACATAAAACAAGCTCCTGGACAAGGCTTATTATATGAAGATAAAGGAAATACTCAAGTTTTTGGGTATTGTGGTACTGATTGGGTAGAGTATCCTATGGACAGACGCTCCACCACAGGATATTGTGTTTTCCTTGGAGAAAATATCATTTATTGGAAAAGCAAGAGACAAAATGTAGTTACTGATGAGTCTCTAGTTGTCCCAAAGATGAGAGAGGTCATCCCTAGCAAGATTACTAGAAGCATGACTAAAAGGGATGCTATCTCCTCACCCTTCATTTTTAATTTACTTAGTATTTTTTTTTCCTATGTTTTTTACTTATTTTCGCTTTCCTTTGGTAGGCTCACTTTATGCACCTCCTTTTTTAAGAATACCACCTCTTTTTGTTGGAAAAGAAGGCTTGGATACATAAGATACATTTGTGGGCAGCCCAAAGGTGTAAGACACTCCTTTTTCATGTCCTACACCCCTTTTTGAAGAGAAAGAAGCTTGGCTTGCGAGTTTGATTGGTTTTGGACTGCCCATAGAGGATCTCACCTCCTTTTTCATGTCCACACCCTTAGAGACATTTTTGGTGGGCTACGACGAATTTAACATATTTGGGCCATAGAGACTCTTAGCCTTTTAGATTTAGGTTAAGTTTATGTCTCCTTTTGTAATTCCATTTAGGTCCTTCCCCCAAAAGCATATAAATAAAAGACTTCCCTTCATGTAATTAGGTTGAACATTTTATGACAAGTTTGTAAGGTTTCTTAGAGTGTCCATCTCTTTGAGTGTCTTATCTTGAACCTTACTTCATGTGACGGCAACCACCACTTATCTTTAGTGGCTTATCTCCTAGTGGCGCTAACACTCCACCACCACCATACTTCTCTTTTCTTCATCTTTTCTTCTTTATTTCTTCACTCCATTTATTTATCCAAAAGGCTGATCCATTTTTCCAGCCCTTGTCTTTATTCTTTTCTAGTTTCATTCCATCTCCTCCTCCCTCCATAATCCTTGTAAATGAACATTCACATCTAGATAGGCAACTATCTTAATGTCCAGTGCGAATTTTTCTTAGGTTTGCTTACTTTATTGCTTAAAATTCTGCACCTTACTTTATTATACATTAGTTGCCCGATCAACTACTGAAGCTATATACAGGCAATGACGTCTCTTACTTGTGAGCTTATGTAGGTAAAATTGTCCCTCCAAGAATTAAACTTTTGTAAGGTTCAACAAATGAAAATGTATTATAATAATCAAGTTGCTCTCCACATTACCTCAAATCCCATGTTCCATGAGAGAACAAACATATAGAAATTAATTGTCATTTCATTCGGGAAAAGTTGTTCAAAGAAATCAGTACTGAATTTGTCGGGTCCAATGATCAACTTGTTCATACATTGACAAAGTCTTTGAGAGGACCTCAAATTGAGTTTATTTATTCCAAGCTTGACACATACAATTTGTATGGGCAATGTTAGATTTACAAGATTTATATTTACTAGATTGGTATTAATTAGTTGTATCTTCTAGAAGTTAATATTTTCATCTCCCCTCCAATCAATATATTTCTACAACCTTCCATTGTAAATAATGAGGTGATTTGAGTTGTGGAGACACACTCAAATATTATAATATTTCTCTTATTTTCTCTCAATTATAACAATTAAAATAACTAAAATGTGACTTGAAGTATACAAAATGGTCCATATTGATACTTGATAAGCATGTATTGCTTACACTACACAGCATAAAACTTGAGAAAATTGTTTACGGTTTCAATACAATGTCTAAAGAGACTGTTACTCTTGTATTTATAAAGAAGGAATAGAAAAGAGAGGATATAAGCCTTAGCCCAAAAACTTAACCCTAGTATAAGGAATATACACAAAAGAAACATGAGTTAAACTCTAAAACATGACATATCTCAATACCCCCTCAAGCTGGAGCATATAGATAGCATGCACCAAACTTGTAACATATGAATTGAATCCTAAGTCCTCTCAGACATTTAGTTAAAATTTCCACAAGTTGCTCAGTAGAGCTCACAAACTCAGTTAAGTTCCTTGGGCAACAACTTCTCTTTGACAAAATGACAGTCAATCTCAATATGTTTTGTTCTTTCATGAAAGACTGGATTGGAGGCAATATGAAAAGTCGTCTGATTATCACAAAACAATTTCATCTGCTCATTATCACAAAATTTTACTTCTTGAAGGAGTTGTTTAATCCACACAAGTTCACATGTAGCAAGAGCAATAGATCTACACTCAACTTGTCCACTAGATTGGGCAATAACACTTTGTTTCTTATTGTTTCAAGAAATCATATTTCCTTAACTAAATATACAATATCCCGAAGTAGATCTTCAATCAATGGGACAACCAACCTAATCTGTATCACAATAACCTAGGATTTGAGTATTACCATTGTCTTCATACAACAATCCTTGTCCTGGAGCCCCTTTAACGTATCTCGAAATGCGAATCAAAGTATCTCAATTATCAACTCAAGGATTTTGCATGAATTGACTAATCACTCTAGCCGCTTAAGATTGACCCTAATTGTTAAACTTTTCAGATTTGAACCTCAAAAATTCTTGTTAATCTTCATCAGAAATTCTCATATCTAACTTTTCAAATCGTAGTAGTTTTGTCAGAAAAACTGTGTAAGAAATAACAGTTTCCCTGTGTGTCCATTCTCTTGCAATAGAAAAACTTGTTAAGCTATATATGACTTTCATTTTTCATAAGGTTAGGTACACAAATAAGCCTCATGAGTAAGTTGTCCATTAAAGGAACTTGATCACCAACAAAGATTTAATCAGCACATGATCAAAGTGACTCCTCAAAATCAAAACCATATATAGCTAATTAAGTTTGGTATTCTACTTTTTTAAGGTATTTACCACTAGAAACCTTTTTAACTCTGCCACAGTAGCCATAGCTTTTGTAATATGAGACATCATGTTGGCTTGCTTGAGTAATGTCACCCTTTGAGTTGTATCTAAGAGATGTTGAATAACATTAGTGAAAATATCTTGTGTCTTTTCCAAAGAGAAGAGTATGTTTTGAATGATTTGAAGATCTCAAGAAATTCTAGTTCCACGGACTGCCATAATATTGTGCTAAGTTGAAAATCTATTTTCTCTCACTAGGATCTTTTGGGGCAGAAATAAAGTTAGCTTCCTTTTCCAGATGGTCATGGCACCCTTGACATAGGAACCACTGTTCAACAAATGCAGAACAGGATAAATTGTTTTTCCAATTGAGTCTTACACTAGTAATGGTAGGAGTGGTAGAGAAAGAGGAGGTGCTGGTTGAAGACATTTTAGCCAGAAAAGAAGGAGAACTAACCAAGAGAGACAACCATGGGACCTAGCCCTCACAATTCTCAAAATAGTAAAGTAAGGGCACCATGAGACTTGGAAGGCGCCGACGAGACAAATGGTGGTGGTCGGACTTGATTTCGGCCACTGGACAGTAGCATATGACACACATGCGCCTAGAGAGACAACTCAGGAGAACTACGTGTGATGGCGTGTGAAGCAGCGAACGAACAGGGTTTAGTTGTGCTTCTCGAGGCGCACCAAACTCTAACTTCGCTGATCCAAAGTGTGCCAATGGACAAAGGGGACAACGACCAACGGTGGCCGAAAGTGATAAGGATGATCGGAAATCAGTGTGGGATCTTGCCCGCTCTGATACCAATTTGAGAAAATTGTTTAGGGTTTCAATACAGTGACTAAAGACATTGTTATTGTTTTATTTATGAAGAAGGAATACAAAAGAGAAGATATGGGCCTCAGCCCAAAATAGAGGTGTTAATATGGGTTCTAACCCATGAGCCAACATGGCTCACCACGGATTCGAGCCGGATTGGGTTCGATTTTTTTCATTTCTGCCGATAATGGGTTAAAAATGAACCTGGCTCACATAACCCATGGGTTAAGCAGGTTTGAGCCGGGTTATGGTGGGTTGACCCGCAACCCACCATTCATTTTAAATTTTAAAAATAATTAATAATAATTTAGTAATCTTAATTGATGTTTTTTTCTCCATCTCTATTCCATGTCGTTCTTTACAAGTCAAACTTTCACTCAAGGTTATCATCAATTACATTATAATGTTTGTCACGTTTCAATTCCGTGTTTCAATCACATCATAACTTTTGTCATGCCAACGCCACAGCGTTTCAGTCTCGCATTTCAATCGCGCCACAACGTTTGTCACGCCACCGCATTCGTCGCACCAGTGCATTCATCGCGTCACCACATTAGCGTGTTTCAGTTGTATCATAGCGTTTGCCGCATTTCAATTGCATTATAGAGTTTGTTGTGTCACTGCGTCATTACGTTCAGTCTCGCTATTTAGTCGTACTTATTAGAAAAAAAAAAAAAAATGTGGGTTAGTGAGCCAACATACCTAACCCACCAACCTGTAGTGGGTTGAGCCAGGTTGAGCTTGCCTATTTTGAACTCAGCCTGTGGTGAGCCAACCCGTGTAAGCCGGGTTGGTTCACTTTGACACTCTAGCCCAAAACCTTAACCCTAATATGAGGAACATACACACAAAAGAAACATGAGTTAAACTCTAAAACATGACATATCTCAACAAGAAGATAAAAAAGTTAACACTAAAAATGAAGCAATAGTAGCACATTAATAATTGACGAACAAACAATTGAGAGAAGAGTATATATAAACTTACCACTATTAGTGTTGAAATTAGGCTCACCAAAGTACTTCTTGTATTGCCAAGCAATTCTTATATCCTTCTCCTATAATTATAAGAGGAATAAATAAATAAATCAAATTACCATAAAAAAAAGTCAATATATCACAACGTGCAAAGGATGAACAAAAGTACATGGCTAATATCTGAAGATTTATCCCCTTTGGATGATGGCGGACTAGGCAAAGTACCAAGAAATCTTTTAGGATCTCTAGATGCACTAGCATATAAGAGCGGTTGCTTTTGCACAAGTCCTTGAGACATAAAATTTCTCAATAAAAGCATATGATGAGGTGCTTCTTCATCTTCCATAACCATGACAAGGCTACCCAGAGAAAAACCACCACCTAAAATCTCTATTGAAAAGGGAAAAAAGAAGCAAGCATGGGAATCTTCTGTGAAAAGACACTCCACATGAATATAATAAAACAACTTAACTCATTCATTTACAAGACAGCCTGTTAAAAGGAAGTCAAAGAGATAATTACTGTCAAGATCAGGAATCCCAGATGAAATGAACATTGTCCCATTAGGGCCATGTTTTAGTCCAGGATTCTGAGATGTCACAGTTGATACATTCCGAGAGAAGCTACTAACTCGTGCCCTGGTTGCAGCCATTCTGCATCAAAACTTTATAATATGTCACACTGAGACCTGAGGAAGAAAACAGTAAATGTTTATGAGTCCACTGAATAGGCTGCAACTCGTTTCAAGTAGATGTTTTCAAAGGCCACGTGGACAATTGCAAACATCATAACAGTTATACTTATAATTATAAATGCAACAAAGGAAATCAAACCAATTTATTAACAAAAACAAGCAAGATTAAGGAAACTTTAACCGTCGGGATGCATTTGTTACAAAAGAACTATATGCGAGAGATCTTTTTCCCCAATACTAGATTACAACGTTTCAAAAATCACAGGCCAAATTTATCCCCAGATACAACAAATAATCGATAGCAGTAGACACATTAATTAATTATAAGCAAAAAAGAAAAACTAAAAACGCCCTCCAAATGCATATAAGAAACAGCTTGCAGACACATTGATTAATTAGAAGCAATAGCAGAACTATGCACATTTTACAACAGGAAAAAAAAAAGTGAGGAAACAATTCCATCTACGTTCAAATCCATGGACAAAGCCAACAACTTGCAAGTCAGACAAAACTTCAGAAACTAAAATATTACGAAACTACGACTGAAGCTTTGAGCAGGCATATTATCAAACACGTGGCGTGCAAGCAACAGAAACTTAGGTTTTTCCTCACGTATCTCACCAGTCTAAATTTCTCAACCCAGAAATCCACACAACAAACATTAAGCAGTTGAAGAATCGAATCACGCAGAAGAATCATAAAATTATCGAAGGAATAACGAAACGTGAAAGATGGTGAGAGACTTACTTTAAATGTTGACAACACTGATTTCGGAGATTCTGTTCAAAGCGAGGGAGTTTCTGGTTTCGTTGGGTCTCACTCAATCACTACACTCCTTATTTGCAAGAATTAACCATATATTATAAATTGATTCAATGCATTCTGATTATGCTTCTCTTTATTCTAGATAATAAATAAACTTTATTAAAAGTTAATATTAGTTTATGTATGAATTAGAGATATAAAGGTATTTACACAAATTAATTTATATATATAAATATATTTGAACAACTTCTGCATAAGTACTTTAAAAAAATTGAAATAAGTTTCTTCGTGTGCTAAAAATTATTTATAAAAATTCTCTTATATATTTTCTTTAAATTCTTAGTTTTACTTATACATAATTAATTTTAGTGTATCGAGAAATTCATTTTATTTTTCTCTCCTATATTTGGAGGCTTGTTTGGATGAGTTTCATTTTTAAGAAAGAAAAATAAAAAAAATAAGATGAAATGAACTTTTTCATAAATTATATGTAAAAGTTAAAATAAAAATTTAGAGAAATTATACGTAAAAAATTTTACAAATTAATTAAAGATTTGATAAGCTAAAATTAACCTTGATCCTTTAGAAATTATATTATAGATTATTTAAAATAAATACTAAGATAATTTACTCAATTCTATAAAGTCAACTCCATAAAAAGACTATTGTAATCATTTTTATACTATAGCATCTCTAGTAAACATGATTTTTGAACGGATTTTACAAAATTTTTAACAAATAAATTAATTTCAACTTTTTTTATTCATTCTGAGTGTCAAGAGAGAAGTTTAACGTAACATCTATATCTATATTATGTTACATGGTTAAGTTTGTTTTGGTCAAGAGCTACAATGTGCACACCCTTCTGTTTGTACATTTTTTCTCACCAATAATCACAACAAGAACATGATCCTTCTTGAAAGTGATGAAAACGATTTCGGTCCCTCACTATGATCTCCCTCCCATAAATCTTGGACAGTAACTTGGTTGCATTGTGACAATCCTCACAAATTCTAAGATTCTTCACAATTCTAATTGGAGCACCAGGAGCTGTGCTAATCAGCCCATATGCCATTGCCAGTTTTTCACTGTGATAGTTAAGTGCAGTTTCTTTCTCCTCATTGTCTATGTTCAACAGAACACAAGATACATCAGGGGTGTATCCAACATCTTCCAGTTTTTCTCCCATCTCATCAATCATTTCATAAATTTTTTCAGCATCTGGGTGTTCCCTATCACCCATTATGAATTCATGAAGCGATCCATTCACTTCAATGGAACTAACACCTGGTTCTTTAACAATCCCCTTATTCTTCATACCTCTCCTTATATATGCAACATCACCCCATCTTTTTTCTGATGCATATATGTTTGACATTAGAACATTATACCCACTTTTGTGGGGTTCCAATGAGAGAAACTGTTCTGCTGCCCATTCTCCTAGTTTGAGATTTTTGTGAAGCTTGCATGCAGAAAGAAGAGATCCAAACACAGCCATGTTTGGCCTCATAGGCATGTTTTTAATTAGTTCCTGTGCTTCATCCAGCATTCCAGCTCTACCAAGAAGATCCACCATACAACCATAGTGTTCAACTTTTGGGACAAGCCCAAATACATGAACCATTTTGTGAAACAGCTTCTTCCCTTCTTGCAACAATCCTGAGTGACTACAAGCATGAAGAACTCCAATGAATGTTATGTCATTAGGGACAACCCCTAGTGCTTCCATTTCTTTAAAGAGTTCCAATGCTGCTTTACCATGACCATGCATTGCAAAACCAGATATCATGGCATTCCACATTGAAATGTCACGGTCCATTGCTGCAGCAAACAATCTCTGAGCTGTATCTATGTCTCCACACTTGGCATACATGTCCACCAAAGATGTTCTTAGAATCATATCTTCTTTAATTCCTTGCTTGTCTATATAAGAATGGATCCACTTGCCCAGTTCAAGTGATCCAGCTTTTGCACATATCCTAAGGAGGCTAACCATGGTTATCTCATTTGGCTTTATTCCACAACCAGTCATGTGAACAAAGATATCAAAGGTTTCATCTATACAATTGTTTTGTGCATAAGCTGAAATCATGGCACTCCACATCATTAAATCTTTTCTCTTAAAGCTGTTGAAAACAGATCTTGCACTTCTAACATCACCACAATTGCCATACATGTCAATAAAAGCAGTGGCCAGAACCAAAGAGATGGTAAACCCACTTCTCAATGTGAAAGCATGTAACCATTTTCCCAGTTCCAGAGCTCCTGGTATGCTACATTCTTTGACCAAACTAAGAATTGTAATCTCATTTGGAAACATACCCTCTCCAAGCATTTTGACAAAGAGTCTAACACCTTCATTCAAATTATTGCAATGAATGTAACCTGCAATCATAGCAGTCCATGAAATGATACTAGCATCAGACAAGCCATTAAAAAGCCTTGTTGCATAAGCTAAATTCTCACATTTAACATACATATCAATTAAAGCAGTACTAGGAGAAACTCCTGATTTCCCACACTTCCCATTCTTCATTACATAAGCATGCATGGCTTTCCCCAATTTCAAATCATCTAGTTCTGCCAATACATGTGTGATGCTTATCATTGCAATTTCACTAGGCCTCACTCCCATAACAAGCATATCTTTCAAAAGGTCCAATGCTTCATCAAACAAGCCACTCCTATCATAGCTCCTAATCATAGTACTCCAAGAAACAGCGTCTTTATGCTCAATCTTATCAAATAATAGTCGTGCCGATGCCAAGCTTCCAACCTCACTGTACATCATGATTAAAGCATTACACACAAAAACATCCCCATGAAATCCATTTTTCACCACAAAACCATGCAACTCTTGTCCTAGCAAGAATGAAGGGATAAGACAACATGCTTTGAGAACCGAGGGTAGGATAAAATTGTCCACTTCAGTGTCTGTTCTTCGCATATAGGCATAGATTTTTGCCGCATCTACAGGGTAGTTGTTTTTTATGTAAGATGTTATTAGGAAACTATAAATTGCTGCATTGCTAGAATAATGTTCCACTGCTGCAAAAGGGACTTGATAATTCCAACTGGAACTGGTTTTGATGAAGTGACCTTGGAGTTGTTGCGTTTCACAGAGGTTGATGTGTTGTTTGATGGCATACACATTTGGTTTTGGTTTGAGTTGAGTGAATTTCAAAGTGGGGGAGTAGTACTGGTTACAGTTTTGGAACTTGTGAATTGAGATTGGAAGAAGAGAAGGAGGAGCACTAGGGAGGTAGCAACTGCTTGTAACCATCTTAGTTTAACCCTACAGTTTTTGCTTGTCCCTTTTCATTTCTTTCACTGATCCACTGCAGCCAACTTCTTCATCCAATTGTACCGAAGATGAGTGATCAAGTTGGTTCAACAAAGGAGTGGGAATGAGGCTAAAGGAAAAAAAGATAAGGAAGAGGGAGTTGTGAGTAACAAATAGTGAAGAATTTGTGTTTGGTTTAGAGTACATGTCAGAGAAGTGGATTCATGTGGTTGCTATCATGTTATGTATTAGAAAACAGATAAGGAAAGAAGGATAATTCCTTTTTATTGGTTTGTTGAAATATCAAATTAAAAAGGAAATTTTATTCCAATACAAAATGTATTTTTACTATGATACATAACAAAAATAATAATAATTTATACTATAACTAATTCCAGTTATTATTTAAAAGTATAACTAGTATTGTAATTAGTTCAATTTAAATTAAATAAGTATCATAATAATTAATTCAATTGCTGTTGAAAAGGACAATTAATTTCATTTAAAAAATAATTTATATCATAATTAATTTGATCACTATAGTTTTACAAAAAATATCTGATCATTATAAAAGGATAATTTTTAGAAATTAATTACCCAATAAAAATAAGTACACCTTTTTCTAAATACTGCACCTTTGTTTTAAAATTATTAATCTATTATCTTTATATAAGAAATTATTTTTATAATCATTTTTTTATATCATTAAAGTGAAAAAAAATATAATTTATATATTTAAAAATGATAAATAATTATATATTAAAAATTTACTTTTTGTAATATTTTTTATGTTATAAGAGAAAAATAAAGAATATTATAATTTAAAGAAAAATCATTATTATTATTTATATATTTAAAAATTATTTAAAGAAAAATAATTATAAACAAATGTCCGCACTAATACATGTTTCCACTACGTGTGTTTCGTAATGAATATAATAATTATATTAAAATAGGGAGTTTTCAGACCGTTGTCAAAACATTTTTTTGTTTTTTTATACAAAGCTTACAAGAAACTTCGTCGGTTCTTCACTCCAGCTTCTTCATTTATTCATCGTAGTCTTCTTCCATCGAAGCATATTCTTCTTCCCCTTCTTCGAAAATGGATTTCGTCGTTTTTTGCTTGGTATTGCTGGTTAGTGCGCAGCTATTCTACCACTTCTACAGCCTCCTAAACATCTTGGCCACCCGCTTCCGCCGCGACCCTCCTCCTCCAACCACCGCCACCGCCACCGCCAAGTCCTCCGATCAAACCACGCCTTCCCTCAAGGAATCATGAATAACCCAACTCGAAATGCTCTAGAACACCCTTTGGTGGGTGAAACCAGGGATCCCAGAAAGAAAGGGTTTTTCTTTTTGGTTTGTTATCGATCACTACTAATGTTATGTTATTGCCTACACACTAGTGTAAGGCCTTTGATTTCATGTCTGTTTTTAACCATGGTTGGTTGTGGCTAATTTGGGCTTGTTAATTAACATATACACGCTACTATTTTTTGTTTTTGTTGTTGGGTTAATTTACACTACACGTATCTTGATTTTTATGTTTTGGGGTTAATTTATATATAGATGCATATATTCTTATTTATTTTTATTTTATTTTATTGTGTTGAGATGAAAATTGGCGGTGGCTCTGTGGGAATGTTGTTTTGATCGATTCTGAGAGGTTTGTGAGTCAACGCTTTTTCTGAATTTGTGCTGGGGAGTGGTTGGGTTCACAAAATCATTGCTTAGAGTGTTTGTTTTGGCTAATAATATAAGGGCAAACCTTATTTTACGGGGGGAACATAATTCCTTTTCGACAAGGTCGTAACTAGCAGTAAAGTATTATATGGAAGTTCTATTCTCTATTCTATTGATACTTGGATGTTTACATATTACAAGTTTTATTCTGATACATGTATAGGTCGCCAGAGCCACTTGACCTATTATGATTTTTAGAGTGGATTTGTGTATATGTTTGAGAACCTATCTTCTAATCATAATTTTTTTCTTCCATCAATGAATTTAAGGAATAGTGATGATAGGAATAACTTTGGTGGTTTAAACAAGGGTGATGATCAATAGACAACTGAAGTGTTATATGAATTGTGATACAATGTTTTTGTTTAAATAATTGTTTCATTTGGTCCCAAATCCAAACTTTGAACACTTTTAGTTGTAAAATGGCATTTGGTCCTTGACTTAACTTTCAACACGTTAATTTGTAAAAATTTGCATTTCCTCTTTCTATATTATTTTAATCAGCTGATACATACAAGATAGCCACCCACTTGCCTGTAAATTGCAAAAAATAAGGCAACACCCTTGTGGACATAGAACACAAGGGTGAGGCAGATATTTTCATTTCTCACCATCCTAATGGACATAGAAACACAAGAGTTACGTAGATATTCTCATTTCTCACCATTCGTCCAAAATTGAAAAGCATTGATAAGTAGCAGACATAACCATTTTCACCAGCTGAATGTAGAAGCATAGCATTATGCTGTAGGGATCTTAGCAAACTTAACCAAGAAAGCATAATCATGACCCTTCTGTCAAGAGCTAGAACTTCAAATCCGAACCCCTTCGCTTGAAAAAACTACTCTAGTATTGCTAAGACTGCAAAATCCAGAGCTAATTAGATAACACTCTTAATGGCATTTGTTGACAATTCAAGGACTTGATGTTGCACTTGATGAATATGAAGAATGCATTTTGATGATGATCCAAGAACTAAAGACTTAGAATATTGAAGATTGAAGATTGGTGATAATTGTATTGTAATAACTCTGTTTTATTTAAGATTGAGTCTGTATTTTTAGAGTCTAAGATAGCCGGTACATAGTCTGTAACTTAGAAGCTTCAAAAAGCTCAAATTTATCATTTAGGTTCGGCTTTAATCGATTATATAGGTAAATAATCGATTAAAACAGTGAGAAAACACTTTCTATACAAACTCACTGCTTTAATCGATTAAAACAACAAAATAATCGATTGTTTTGTATTGTTCAGTACGGATAATCGATTATTTCACCAAATAATCGATTATTTCGAGAGGTTTGGGTTCGACGTATTTGGCTCTGTTTTAATCGATTATCACTCCAAATAATCGATTATTTCGATCTGTTTTTCATTTTAAATTTCAAATTAACCCTATTTTCGAAAACCCAATTACCAAGAACCCTAGTTTCGAAATCCCCAATTCCTAAACCCTAATTTCCCTACTTAAACTCTGCTTTGGCACTCGGAAAATAAGAACAACTCTTTCCATACAAAAGTTAAGTGCTCGTGAGTGCCGGAGAACCGTTTGTTGCAAGGAAAGGGGGCTTTTGGAACCTGGTGTGAGGCTAGAAGCGATAAGAATCACTAAGTGGAGTTCTTAGTGGATTGTGTCTTGTGCCGTCTCTAGGGAAAAGCTGTTCTTCATCTCTTGTGGATTTCAAGAGAGGTGTTTTCTCGATCTTTATCTCGTTCATTTGTAATCTGTTTGTAACAATTTGTTCTTAGTGACAGCGTTAATCCTCTTTTGAGTGATTAGCAACTGGACGTAGGGTCTTTTGATCCGAACCAAGTATAAACCTACTGTGTAATCTTCTCTACTCTTCTCTATTTACATTTACGCGAGCTTTTAATCGGTAAAATTTGGGGAAAATTTTGAAAACCTAATTTTTATTAAGAAACCAATTCACCCCCTCTTGGTTTTTGTCCGACCACGCGAACATTCCGCTGCACGATTCTAACAAGTGGTATCATAGCTTGCTTTGATAGTCATTCAAATATTTTCGAAAATGGCCGGACAAAATCAAACTTTTGCCGAAGGTGCGTCTATCAACGGACCCCACTTTTTGCGGGTCAAAATTATCCTTTTTGGAAGGTACGTATGCAAATATTTTTAGAGTCTCGTTGATAGAGGCGTTTGGGACGCAATTTTAAACGGTCCATTTGTTCCTAAAATTACAGAGAACGGTGTTGACGTTCTTAAACCTATTTCTAGATGGACTCGAGAAGAAAGTCGAAAAGCACAATTTGATGTTAGGGTTAGAAACATTATTTCATCTGCTCTAACCCTTGATGAGTTTTATAGAATTTCGGTTGTAAAAGTGCACAGGAAATGTGGGAAATGCTTAGGGTGACCCACGAAGGAACTGACGACGTCAAAAGAGCACGTAAAAATTCTTTAATCCAAGAATACGAGATGTTCCGGATGCAACCAGGCGAAACGATATTTGACGTACGTAAACGTTTCACTCATATCGTGAACCATCTCACCGGACTAGGTAAAATTTTTGACGTTGATGAATTAAATGTTAAAATTTTGAAATCTCTGGATAGGAAATGGCAACCAAAGGTGACGGCCATCTCGGAGTCACAAAATCTTGCCACTATGTCTATGGCGCGTTATTTGGAAAGCTTAGGGAGCATGAACTTGACCTTGGAAGACTAAATGAGGAAGAGGGTCAATATCAAAAGAAGAACCTAGCTTTCAAGACTGAGATTTCAAAAAGCAAAAATAAGAAAGAAGAAGAAGAAGACTCCGAAATTGATGAAGAAGAGATGAGTCTTTTTATAAAGAAGTTCACCAAGATGATGAAAGCAAAAGGAAGACATCCTTTCAAAGGTAAGGGAAAGGTAAAAGAAAATTCTTCAGTTAATATAAAATGCTTTGGTTGTGGTGAAGC